CGGCGGCGGCGGTGGCGATGCGCCGCGCCCCGCCGAGCCCGTCCCGCCGCGCTAGGTGAGGCGGCCGCGGGAGCGCCGGCCGCGGCCATGGGCACCCTGGGCAAGGCGAGAGAGGCTCCGAGGTGAGTAGGGGCCCGGGGCCTCGGCGGCGCCGTCTTCCTTCCTTGGGGCGGGCGACCCCGCGAGCCCTCTCAGGGGGCGGGGGGGAGGGGGTGAGTGGGGCGGGCGACGTGGGTGCCTCCTTCTACGGGAACTTGCTGACCCGGGGTCCGGGCGGCGGCAGGCCAGGGTCTCGGCTCAAGTCCGGGGAAGCGGGCGGCCGGGCAAGAGAGGCGGGGAGCTGGGTCGTGCGCGCCACGAGCTCCGGAGTTGCACCGACGGCCCTCCCCACCCGGTCCCGGCTCCCCGGCGTCCGGCACCTGGGTCTCTCCCACTCGCGGACTTTCCGTACCACCCGCACCTGCTGCGGTCCCGGGGCTCCGGCAGCGCCACCTGCCGGCCTGTCCCTGCCCTGCGGATCCGGGGCAGGGCCCCGGAAAGGCCAGCGGCTCTTTGCAGGGAGCGAGTGGCGGTCCCTGAAACATACAGCCTTCTGGGTGGAAACTATGCGCCCCTCCACCCGCACTGCGATTCTAGAGAGATGTGTTAGGAGCGTCTCGAAGATGAAGTTAGTGTGGTAGTGCAAAGTCTTTTGGCAGGGGAAAGAGGCCTGGGGGGGGGGGGGGGTGGCAGGCAACTTTGAGTGTGCCCCCTTAGAGCAGGGAGGGCCTGGGCACAGCACGCCAGTGCGCTCTTCCCAACTTCCTCCACGTGGACTCTAGTGTGACCGGCCCGCACAGACATGCCCGCGAGAGGCAGGAAGCTTTGCTCTGCTGGACTTTTTGGAGCCGAAGGTTCTTGGCCCTTTCTGCACTCGGGCACCCTGACGGTGTTTGCCCCAGGGTGCAGCCCTGCACCTTCCCTAGATTGAGGGGAGGGGTGTCTGTAAGTTAAACTGAGTATACATTAGAGGGCTGAGGGAGAGGACAGGACTGGAAAGAATCCTAACCAGAAGCCAACCAAAGCCATCTTCTGCAGAGAAAGTTGTGGAAGTCTGTGTTCTCATTCCTCAGTTTCATCGCTTAACGCACTCTTCTTGGCTAGTTTTCCTAAAAGGTTCAACCTGAAAGTGTGTGCCCTCTGCTGAGGCACCTGTGCTGGAGAGGATTTCACCTGAGCCAGGTCAGAGTTTCCACCGCCTCCTTGCTTCCTGAGGCAAATTCCATGCAGCCTTGGCCACTCATAGTCTCAGAAAACCCCTTCAAGTTAATGTGTTTCTCTCTGGCCTTATTTTTTTATTTTATGTGTTAATTTACATGGGAACATTTGGCTCCAGTCCTTTAAAAATATGCCTTTGGAGACTTAGAGTATTCTTTCTATGATGTTTAAATACTCTTTGATCTACCTATAATGAAACATTTTGTACATCCTTATCTGTAGACCTTTCACCAGAAGACCGAGTGGTTTGAAGGTTTGTCAGGAAGCAGCAGTCAAGAGACTGAGCAGCCAAAGAGCCGAGTTTCCTACTTTATGGCGCAGATAACCCTATCTTCCCAGACCTCTCGGGATGCAGTGTGGTTTTTAGTAGCATCTCTTCTTCCTGGTGTCTTGGGCCCAAACTGTGCCTCTCTTTGGCCTCCATTCTCCCAGATTACATTTCTCACCTTCCCTTCCCCCTACCCTAAATACTCCCTTCACACTCTTTTTCTTTCTGTGTGGATCTACCCCTTAGTTCTCTCTTAGTTCTGATAAAAGCATCTGCCTCTAAGAATCACCTTGTGAGCCAAAGTGGTTTCCCCTACGGCTGACATTAGGGAGCATTACCAGAATTAGAGCCAGCGCACTTTTTAGAATCCTCAGTGGTCGATGCCACCAACCGAGAGAGAAAATGGAATGTTTCCTGGATCCCACAGTTGAGAGACAGAGATTAACACCTCCCAGCCCCAGGGGAAAGAGCTGTATATGGAGATAGGGCTTGTGGCCTGTGGTTGAGTCCAGTGGCCGCCTCTCTTTGGAAGGCCTAAGAGAAAAAGACTTCTCTTGAGAAGGACTTTGTTTTCATCTTTCCCGCCTTTGCCTTGGTGGGGGTCTTCGTGGTGGAAAGGCAGCAATGGAGGCAGAAGTGTTTCCAACACTGGACAACGAGCACCAGGTTTAGAGAGTTGTCTGTACTTATAGGAGGGGAAGGGAGCCTAGCTGGCGAACAAAGCGTGGGGCGCAGGAGGCCCGGCTTCTACCAGCCTCTGCTCCAGTGGCATTGCCTTTCTGAGCCTGGACCTCCACATATGTATATGAAAGTTTGGAACGTGACCATCAAGAGCCTGCCCAGCTCTGAAGACTGTTCCAGGGGCCCACAGGAGGGTATGAGGTGGAGACTTTATGTTATCAGCTATGCTTTTGGATGATTTTTGAGTCTTAAACTTTTCAGGCTCTCTGTGGCAGTCTCCTTCTAATTCTAATGTAGTGAAAGTTGTATGGTCCCAAGCATAGTAAATACTTATCAAATAAAGCCAGAGAGGCATCAGGTACAAATCCCAGATCTAGCACATATGAGCTGTACAGCCGTGGCTATGTCATTTAGCAGCTTTTAGATTCAGTTTCAACTTCATGTAATGGAGGTGATCTCTTTCTGGGGTATAGGCTTTAAAAATCATTTAAACCTCCCAGTACAGTGCATGTGATATCATAGGTGCTAAGTTCATTATGGTCATTATTACTTTCTCTTGATTTCAGATGCTGATCTGATCGTGGGGTTATCACAGGGCCTGGATAAAAATCAGTAATGGTCAGAAATTTAAGTCCTGTACCACCAACTTGATCTTTCAGAAATCACTTCCTTGGGTTAGTAGATTCTGAGTAGCCAATTGTTGATGCAATTTCATTGGGCCCACCCCAGGCCAAAAGCAGAGTCCAGTGGTCACTGCCGGACCAGTGCCATGGAGCTAGTTTGAAACAGATCAGAGGGCATGGTCTTCCCTCCACTAGTCTGGCTGCGTAGAGGGTGGCCCGTAGTTCAGTACACTCTCTTTTAGCAGAGAATCCATGTGTGCCCCCAGCATTTCATTTTGATCAAAGCATTTCAGCCCCTTCTGGGGGATGAGATTATATCTTACTGGAGCAGCTTCCCCCAACACTCCACCTGGAACTGGTTCTCTCTCTTCTGAGAACATCATGCTTCTTACGCTTGACACCCACAGGACACTTAAGATTTATAGAGCTGTCTTTTCATGGTGTAGGTCTGATTCTCCAACTAGATTTTTGAATTAAGGAACGTCTAGTTTACCTTTCTACAACAGCAGCAATAACTAATGTAAGGAGTATGTCTTACAGTTTACAGAGTACCTCACATAGACTGTCTCACTCCAGTCCCCTTCCCCTCTGGCCTATCACAGTGTCTTACTAATAGAATAAGTACTTATTAACTAATGCCCTTACGTGTTTATCAAAATAAATAGTGAGTACCTAAAGTTATGGATCTGAGGTACAAATTTTTTTGTCTTCTCTTCGGTCGTAAACTCTGAAATAACCAAAGCCACAAGATTAATTACATGTTCAAAGAAGTTAACCAGCAACGACACCCATCACTATTAAACCTGAAAAGATTATAGATATGCATCTGTGTGTTTAAATAGGAAAGTAAAATACTTCATCATTTTGCAAACAACTTGACCTGTACTGATGAGGTCATGACCAAAGACAAAAGCTAAGTGAGAGAGAACATAGGTGACCTGTTGGATTCCTAAGCCATTTCCAGATCCAGACTTCTCCTTTTACATTCAGTTCTGAAATAAAGCTCACATAAGCTCTGCTTTTTTTTTTTTTAATCAGTATTCCCCAATTAAGGACTTGATAGAATGATAATATTTAGTGGTAAAAACTGACATATAATGATTGCCGGTATTATCAACAATGGAAAACAGAATCTTCAAGATTTGTGAGAAAGGCAAGATTAGCTGAAAATCTGAACACCTCCACTGTAAATCCTCTCCCTTGCACGTGGGTCCTTAGTCTTTGACTTCTCCCCTAAAGTTCACAGGTGTTTTTGAGGCCACCTGACCTTCTGCAGCGTCTCTGGTATTGCTCAAGATGAATGAATTTAGTTGAAGATGAGACCAAATAAAACAGTGCTTCAGACCCAAGTCAGTGGACTTCCAGCTAAAATATTGGTAGGAGCTAAGGACTACCTACATGGCCTGGCCTCTGCCTCTCTGGTTCAGGAGCCAGAGCCAGCACGCCAGAGCAATTCTAATCCCAGACTGAAGAGCCCTGTTGCAGCCCTGAAATCTTACCTTATTATTTGCTTGGGAGATGTCTCTTTAACAGCCAACCAGTCCGTTTGGTGCATTTGCCAAGTGGGAGGGGTATGTCTTCTATCAGCCCAACTCTCAGGATTAATTGTCTTATCTCTACTCCTTTCCTGCCCAATCTGCCTTCAGAGCTTGGAGCTGCCAGTCTGTCTGTCCCCTGGCTGCTTGGCTTGCACTCACTGCCTCCCCTCTTTCCCCAGGAAACCTTCTCATGGCTGCAGAGCTGCCACTAAAGCAAAACTAGAGGCGAAGTCAGCCAGCAGCCCCTTCCCTTCTCATCCCAGCCTGGCCCAGATCACCCAGTTCCGCATGATGGTGTCTCTGGGACATTTAGCCAAAGGAGCCAGCCTGGACGATCTCATCGACAGCTGCATTCAATCTTTTGGTGAGTTCGCTAACTACCCACATGCATAAAAATCTATTACTTTGTTCTTCCTTAAAAAGTTGCTTTGTGGAATAGCAACCTAGATTGTATTTTGGCTTTAAAAATATCTTTTGAGCCTTTGAAATGTTGGAGACCGTGTGCAGTGCCTATGGCACATGACTGTGTGGGTGTAATAGGTCGTGATGAGAGGCGTGATTTCAAGTGAGAAAAGTTGAGGAGAGTTTGCATTTCCATTTCTCTTAGGATGGAGGTTGTTCCTGTGATGAGAAATCTCATAAAATGCTACTGTGCCTCTGGTGCTTTGACATTCTTCTGCCCTTGTGTTCGTAGGGCACACAAAGACAAGGTTACATGAGCAAACACTGTTATCAAACAGAAATTTGAAAGCCTTTGGATCATGTGGATGATAGAGTGTAATAATCCCCCTTACAATTGGAGGGTAGTTGTGAGGGACTAGAAAAGGACAGGATTTAAAGCCAGAATGTCTGTGACTGGAAGATACTGGTTAGGAAGTATTTGTGACTGGGGGTCAGGGATCTGGGCGGGGGGTAAGCAGACACACACATGGACCGTGAATTCTCTAGAATGCTGCCCTCTGTCATCACCATTCTCAGCCTGAAGGGTGCACGGTCTCATGCAGCTCACGAGCAGTTATCTGCAAAGATGCCCATTTTTTAAAAAAAATCTTATAAGCACTGTCTTTTTTTGGATTGTGATTCGTGAAATAGTGATTGAAAAGTACTATATATTGGTTCCCCTCAAAAAAGGAATTATTAAAATCAATGGAAAATTCATAGATTTCCAGCATCACTGTTCCCCCCTCTGTGCCCACTTTGAACCCCTGCGTCTCCCACCAGGAAGCAGATGAGCACAGGTGGCTCAGCTCGGAAGTGCCTGCCCATCTCAGACCCTCGTGGAGCCTCCTGGGGGATGTAGGGGAGCCTCGACCCGATCCCAGGCAGCACAACACGCAAATCAGTTAGAATTCAGAACTAGGGATTCTTGGCTGGACATGTTTACCGTTGGGCCAGACCTTATTTATGGAATCGGGAAAGATTTGACATCTTAGGGATACTTGTTTAGTACACTTCAAGTACGAAATTGAGTAGTTCTGATGATTTCCACATTGGTTTAAAGCAGCAGTTCTCACATGTTGGTGCAGAATCTCACGGAGGTTATCTTTTTTATGAACACAGATTGCTGGGCCCTGCCCCCAGAGTTTCTCCTGGGGTGGGGCGCAAGGATTTACATTTCTAACAAGTTCCCAGGTGATGCTGATGTAGCTGACCCACGTACTCACTTTGAGAACACTACATTATTGTTGTAGGCTTTTTAACTTGGAAAAGAGGCAGCACTTTTATTATTACTAGGTGAGCCTCAAATTTTAATTAAATTTGTATGTATTTACACTCTAATTTTTCAGTTAAGAATGACACGGGGAGTGGAATGAATGATTGTCTGTTTTAAAATAATCTTAGAAAATACATGGGCAAGGAGGTGAACCTAGAAATCAGGAGACTAGTGGGCAGGTGGCTGTGAGGAGCCATTGTTCTTCCTGGGTCTTACTTTCAACTGGCTCCCAACTGGAATGAGCTGCAAAGTTCCTCACGCAGTCTTGGTAGTCCTACATACCAGTCTTTTTGCAGGGCACTGTTGCTGTTTCAGGAATAAGGATGTTTATTCTTTTTCCATTTCACTTTTGAGAAAATGGGGACCGGGAATGTATTTATCAGTAACTTTCTTCCTCTTGCGCCAATCAGGCAACTGCTGGCTGAGGTCAAAGCTGTTTTCCTAACCTTCCAATAATCATGACATCTACCTGAGGAATAGATGACCAGTTCTGAAGTCCTTCCCCAAAAGAACCAAGCCTAATCCACTCCTCTCAACAAATCCTACAGGGGCAAAAGCTGTATTGTTTTCTGGAATATGTTGAACTGAAAAAAGTACCTTAAAACCCAAAAGCTTTAAAAATCCCATAGAGTCCAAGAGTCTTATCCACCCTGAGGAAGCATTGATTAAGCCCCTAATGGCAACAGACACAGGCTAGGCAGTGCACAAGGAGAATTACTGTGACCAGACCCCTGTTCCAGTATCAGAGTTTAGAATATCTGAGAAATGCACCTTTCAAGGGAAAAAAGATAGATACACAAGGCAGGGAAATAATCTAAGGCATGTAGGAAGAATACATTCTTTATACATGTGGAGTTTTGAGAAAGTTCATTTCAAGGGTAAGGATGGATTAGGGAGAACAGCCACTGTTCAAACTCCTCTTTGGCCATGGGATTGCAGGGGGAAGGTGGGTAAGTAAGATCTCAGAGTTTTGCATAGTATGCATGCACGGTTTCCTGCCACAGAATTTATATGAAAGAGGTGGAAAAGAAAAGACATGCTACATCTGGAGGGAGTGGGAGACAGCACGTGATTTTCACTCATGGGGTATCGTGGCCATGTGTCGCCAGGGAGGGGAGGGGAGCGGAGTTCGAACAACAGAGGTGAGCAGAGCTGGGGATCATGAGCAGCTCTTGACAAAGAATAATCTGTGGCAGAGTGCCTGCCGGGGCTTCTGGAGGTCTCCTCGGAGGTGATCCGAAAATAGTACAGAGTGAGCCTTCTGTTTCTCTTGAACCTCTTCTTACTAGTTATTTTCCCATGTTTGTATCGGAAAGTTTTGCTTTAGAAGAAAGCAGTCTAGCTTAGTTTTTTGTTAATGAGTTGAGATGTCTTACCATTTTAATGCCTGTGAAAAGAGAGGGAAATGGTACAGACATGTGGGGAGACTTTTATTGGTTTGGTTTTGGTAATCTTGCACTTCAGACTCTGGTTGCAGCCACTCTCCCACCAACTTGGGGGGAGAAAAAAAAAGGAAAAAACACCTGTTTTGAACATAAAGACTAATTAGTTAATTTCTACTACCTTTTCAGCCGCACCTTCATGCAGATGCTTTGAGGAGGTTTGAATTAGCTAAAGCAGTATGGTGCAGTATGGTTGCTATTAGCCAGATCTGGCTATTTACATACACATTTCAACTAATTAAAATTAAAGTAAATGTAAAACGTAGTTCCTCAGCCTCACCCGGCATATTTCAAGTGCTCAGTATCTGCAAGTGGTAGCTGCTGCTGAACAGAGTAAACAAAATATTTCCATCATGTATGGCAGAAAGTCTGTTGCACAGTGCTGGATAGGGTAGATGGTTGACTTGAAGGGAGAAAGCAACAGAGAGACCTTCTGGAAACTGTGGAACTTGCATATTTCTAGCATCTCTAGGTAATAGCCTGAATACTCGCTAAGGTATCATAGACATTTGGATTTAGCATCTTTACTGATGCCTCTCTCTTTAGTGTTATTAACCATTAATTACCACCCACACTGTTCTCAGAGAGAGGACTTATGACAATGCTTTTAAGGATGGGTGACCAGCACATACATATTAAGGGTAGTCTTGAAGGTCTCACAGCAAGCCTCCTATTGTCACATACAGGGTTACAGATCTGTGATTAGAAACTCAGAGCCTTGAGTCATAGTTCATTGCTTTAACCATGAGACAACCCACTCCCACCTTCTGTTTTAATTGGAGGTCATGCTTTACATTCTCAGCAAATTATTGCCCGTTAATCCACTCTTCAGCTGAGCATAATGAGGCAAGTCATCACAACCTGGTACATTTATGTCAAACGTATGTGAATCACACCATCTGTTTCAGGGGTAGAAAAGACCTATGAGATCATCTGGTTTTTAATGTTTTCATTTTTTAAGAGGGCTGCCAGCATTTGGGGCCAAACGGAAGGCTTCTAACATGTCCAAATTCACAAAACTTCCCTTGTTCCCTTCTGAATGCCAGACAACTTTCAGCAGCATCAGAAAGAAAGCTGTGAACGTGTCCCAGAAAGGGACCCTCGGCAAGGAACCCTCCTGCTCCCAGGTGGGGTGTAGGCGGACATTCAGCGTCTCTGTCGTACCTGTCAGTGTGAAGGGAAACGCAGCTTAGCTGATACCTTTATATTTATAGAGCGTTGTTTATTTTTTATTGGAGCTCCATATGTATTGGTTTTCTTTTAAACTCAAAACAGCTCTGAAATTGGAGGGTCAGGTGGTATTGTCTCCCCTGGACAAATGAGAAAATAAATTGGGCCTCTGAGAATTGATGCAATTTGCCTCATGCCCTCAGTCTAGAGAGAAAACATGCTGCTCGAGTGCTTTTTCCTCTGTCCCCAGCAGCCCCTTGCAACCTGAGCTGGGGCTCGCTCAGACCCCTCTCCCCGGCAGGCCCCTCTTCGTGCACGGGATACCTGCATGCCACACGGGACATGCCTGAACCCTGTGCCCACCTTCTGCAGGCCTGGTCTCCCCCAGATTAGAAGTTAAACTCATTCAATATGAGGACTGTTCATTGGACCCCACATATATATGTCTGCCTGAAATTCTATCTTGAGCAAAGTGTTAATTAAAATTTCCCATAGGTATTGTGCTAATGCTATACAAAGGCCTCCCAAACTAATAGGTATATTTTCTGCAGCACGGAACACTTAGATGTTAGATGTATTTTATAGACCTCAGCTTGTTAAGGGCAAAACACTACACCCACTTTTAAAAATTGGAGCCAAAGAAGGCAAACACACACTTTTTGGGACCACACACAGTTCCCTCTGTGGCAAAGGGAAGGCTAGGGATTTCTCACCACTCTGCAGGTTACAGGCTGTGCACCACAGTGAGGTGTCCAGAGGCAACAGGAACACAAGACCAGAAGCCAAGGGCCATGATATCGAAGGGCACTCAGACCCAAGGATGGGCAACTCCAAGGAACAAAGCCAAGTGTAGTGTCAAGAAGGGACTGAAAGCCATGTCCATTGTCGAACACAGGCCCTTTGTGAAGAAGACCCAAGGTGACCCAGTAGCCTCCTCAGTGGAACCCCCAGGTGCTTGGGTGTCACATACAAAGGATAGTCCTTGGGACACCCATGTTCTAAGGCTTCTAGGCATCGGAACAGCTCCAGGGCGTGCCTGTCGTTAGCCCTCTGGAGCGAATTCACATCCTGTGATCCAGATGCTATTTATTCCAAGCAGTACCTTTGCTGCATCTTCGACAGGCTGGCATCACCCAGTGCCCAGCCTGGCGTGTCCGCCTCTCATGGGTGTGAGGTACAGTGACTGCCAGGCTCAAGAAAGAAGGAGATAGGAAACCCCTGTCACTCGAATCTGTCTCTCCTGCCTGGTGGTGTTGACGGCAGGCTTCCCTCTGTCCAGAGAGATGAGGGTTACCACTGAGAGACATAGATGGTGGACTGACGTTGGTTGAACACTTACTTCTTGTGGGCTGTAGGGTACTGTGCGTTTACCTGAACTGGGCCCATCAATCTTTACAACAACCCTAATTAATAGGTAGTGGGAGCTCGGGGTGTCACATAACCTGGGGAACTTGGCCCAGTTCATTAGTTGGAGAGCCGCTGGGATCTGAACTGTGGTCATCTTGTCTCCGACGCTGTTGTTCTTTTTACTCTACCAGAGGTTCTCCAACTTGAACATGAGCAGGAATCATCAGGGGTGGGGTGTGTGCATTTAGATTCCTGAGGGTCAACTCCAGAGATTTTCATTCAGCCAGCAGTCGCTGTGGTTTTGATGGAGGTGACCCACGAACTGATTGTGAGAAATACTGTCCTACAGCACACTTGCTATCCCTTCTCAACTGTGCCTACTTCCTTCCAGACTTCCTGCCTGTCAGCGGTTTGGCTGGAAATAGACAGCGTGGGTGTTCCTTACAACTACAGTTTGGTTCTTTGCACTCAAAGGCAGCATTCCTCGCCTGCATTTCTGCCTTTAAGCCATGCTCAGACCAGTTTACTGGAGTGCTTAGGGCCCTGGACCCCGTTGTATGCTTGTCCCCCATAGGACAGAGCGTGGCTATGCTGGGAAACGGGAGAGGTGCTTCATCTAAGTACTTCTCCAAAAGTGCCGCTTTGCCAACAGATGTTTTAAGGCCAGTTGTTGACATGAAGGTTGTTGAGTCCATGATGGAAACACATCAGGAAAGGACGTGAAAGCAAAAGCACTGTAATCAGTAGTTGACCGAAACAGCAGTGATTGGGCGGAGGCCACTGGAGGTGGTCTGAAGTGCCGGTCCTGCCCCAGGCCCTCCTCCTGGTGGTGGGACCGACCCTCTTCTGCTGGCACGGTTACAGCTGCTGGATTTGGTGGCTTGTTCTGCAGGTAGTTTGGGCTACCACCTAGCTGGGGTTGTCCTAGAGAGGGAGACAACAGGGGAAGACGAAGAGCCTAAGCAAGGCCGGCTTCACCAACACCATACTCGGTTTAGTGCCGTTACAGTGCTGAAGCTCTTAATCTGCAAAAGCAGTATTAGATTTTCAGGAGTTTTCAAGGCAGTTGTTAGACACAACCACCATTAAAAACCTGAAATTATAGGAAACCAATTTGACAATAAATTTCATATATTGAAAAAAAATAAAAAATAATTTTAAAAAAAACCTGAAATTATATTAAAAATGAAGGTAAGAGGGGCACCTGGGTGGCCTCAGTTGAGCGTCTGACTCTCAGTGTCAGCTCAGGTCATGATCTCACGGTTTGTGAGCTCGAGCCCCAAGTCAGGCTCTGTGCTAACAGCACAGAGCCTGCTTGGGATTCTCTGTCTCCCTCTCTCTCTGCCTCTCCCCTGCACATTCTCTCCCTCTCTCTCAAAAATAAAGAAACATTTTAAAAAATGAAGGGGCTCCTGGGTGGCTCAGTTGGTTAAGCCTCTGGCTTCCGCTCAGGTCATGATCTCACAGTTTGTGAGTCCAAGCCCCATGTCAGGCCCTGTGCTGACAGCTCAGAGCCTGGAGCCTGCTTCAGTTTCTGTGTGTGTGTGTGTGTGTGTGTGTGTGTCTGTCTGTCTGTCTGTCTGTCTGTGTCTCTGTCTGCCCCTTCCCTGCTCATTCTCCGTCTCTCTCTCGTTCTCTCTCTCAAAACTAAATATTTTTTTAAAATGAAGGTAAGAACCCTCAAAACTCATCATTTCCTAATGCATGACCACATTTTACTATTATTCTCTAGTCTCCCGAGGTTATGCCTGTGGTCCCCACACGGTATGAATGCTACACGGTGGTATGCTGTAGTATATGCATCTCCTCCCCGCCCCCTGATCCGTGAAGTCATGCTGATTGCTTGAAATTGGCCTGGGTTTGGGGTATTTATACCATGGAATAAATGTTTGTCTACTAATCAGGGCTTCACACACACTAGTTACTAATCAGGGCTTCCGGTTGAACCCTGTCCCTGGAAAGGCCACTGTTACAGGTTTGTGAGCGTAGCACTTACTCCCAGCTGCAGGGTTTACTTACATAGCGAGGTGTCTGTGGTAAAACCAGATATGTTATTTTGTATCCCCTAATTAGGAGAAATAATATTTTGTCATCCTTTGGCTTCCTTCATATAAGAATCATATACAACTCCATGTGCTCTTCAAAGAAAAGGAACAGTTCACCTCAGCTTAGAGATAAGAAAATCAAATGTGGCTGAAGTTGAAAACTTTTCTTAAAGTGACAGTGGAACTGAAAACTAAAACTCAGTCTCACTCAGAAGTTGAAACTATTTGTTTTCATTTTTGCTTTTTTGGTTTACCTCCTCTAAACGTTCCCCATGAGGGGCGCCTGGGTGGCGCAGTCGGTTAAGCGTCCGGCTTCGGCCAGGTCACGATCTCGCGGTCCGTGAGTTCGAGCCCCGCGTCAGGCTCTGGGCTGATGGCTCAGAGCCTGGAGCCTGTTTCCAATTCTGTGTCTCCCTCTCTCTCTGCCCCTCCCCCGTTCATGCTCTGTCTCTCTCTGTCCCAAAAATAAATAAACGTTGAAAAAAAAATTTTTTAAACATTCCCCATGATTCAGCTGTCTCTCATTTCTGACCAGCCAGACCTCAGTTTTGTGACCTCCATTCTCCACGTGTTATATGCTCTGTTTCTGAGTCCATCTATGTACTCGTTTGCCTCCATTTCCCGCTACATGGTAACAGGTGCTATTGGTAGTTGGATAGATAGGTAGATCGGTATTTATTATATATATATATACATATATATATATAAATATATATAATTCCAAGCTTTTGTTGAATATGTTTTCATAAGTTTCTTTGCCAACTATATTTCCAGTTTTGTGAACTGTTCATACCCTTTATCACTCGCTGTTTAATGTTATTATTAGAGGTTTGCAAAAGCTTTTTATTTTTTTTTAAACATTTATTTATTTTTGAGACAGAGAGAGACAGAGCTTGAACAGGGGAGGGTCAGAGAGAGGGAGACACAGAATCCGAAACAGGCTCTGGGCTCTGAGCTGTCAGCACAAAGCCCGACGCGGGGCTCAAACTCACGGACCGGACCGCAAGATCATGACCTGAGCCGAAGTCGGACGTCCAACCGACTGAGCCACCCAGGCACCCCTGCAAAAGCTTTTTAAATGAAAAGCTCTTTGAATACCATTTGCTATAGGCATCCCTTCCACCCCAATTCTATTTTCATATTTTATGTTGGTTTGGGGATATTAATGTCTAAAAATTTTACATTTTTATGTAGTTAGATTGCACCACATGTTTAAAATCTTTTGCTTTATTAACTCAGAATTTTTTTTAAAAATATCCTTTTTACACAGATACAGTGAATGCTCCATTGTCATTTTAATCAAAGTTTGAATAAATCTATTGTATGATACAGTTCTGTATCCCACTCTTGTGAATGATCAGTGAAAGCTTGTCAGTAGGTTTTTGCTGAAGAAAAAGAAGCCTCCAGTTTTGTTTCTGAGACTCATTGGCTTAAAACCAGAGTCTGGACAGTCGCTTTGTCACTCAGGGCCTCAGTTTCCCCTCGCCATGATGGCGTTGAAGTGACTTCTGAAAGTGACAGTGTCTAGGAGAAGGTGTCATAAGGTCTTCTTGATCATGATGTTGAATGTGAATTTGAAGAAAGTTCTTTACAAGTAATTTCTATGTTTAAAGAAAATACTTTGTTCTATTTGAAGCCAGTACCCTTAGGGTGGAGGCTTAGATAACCAACCAAATTTAAATCCATTTTTTCCTAAATTATTAATATAGAGTGAGTCTGTATTGTTCTTACATGTTTTTACTGTCATAAAATGTACAAAGCATAAAATTTACCACTTATATAGACTTTTAAACTATTTTAGTAGTAGTTAACTTGAGTATTTACTGTGAACAATATGGTGTTCGTATTAATATGTTATAGATACATATTATCGCTTAATCCCCACCCTTTTATAAGTTCTTGTATTTACAAAGATCTGACACTTAGCTCTCATATTTACTTTTCACATTTTAATAACTTTAAAAATTATGTTCACTACAGAAAATTTAGAAAATACAGATGAGCAAAAAGAACAAAATTGCAGTCCTCCTTTCTACCACCAAGAGCAAGATAAGCACTATGAATGTTGTTTGGTATATCTCCCTCAATTCTCTTCCGTGCATGTTTACATGTACTGTAGTCTTGTTGACTTTTCTATGGTAGACTTACTGTTATTAACTCTTTGTTTTCCATAATTCACATTTTAAACAATTGTTATCTTAAAACCAATATTAGTATTGGTAAAGAGGTATGCTAGCATACAAAGTTGCTACTCACTCATCAAATTGATTTTTTAAAAAAGTAGGGGTGCCTGGGTGGCGCAGTCGGTTAAGCGTCCGACTTCAGCCAGGTCACGATCTCGCGGTCCGTGAGTTCGAGCCCCACGTCAGGCTCTGGGCTGATGGCTCAGAGCCTGGAGTCTGTTTCCGATTCTGTGTCTCCCTCTCTCTCTGCCCCTCCCCCGTTCATGCTCTGTCTCTCTCTGTCCCAAAAATAAAATAAAAACATGGAAAAAAAAATTTTAAAAAGTTTTGCCATAATCTCTTCAAATGTGGGACATAACGTTGAAGGTTGTTTGGCAAGTAAAATGAGCCTAACAAGGATCAAGAAAAGTAGCTACTCATTTCTTTCTAATGCTAAGTGCTATAAGCATGACTGATTAGAGTTCTGATAAATCAAGGAAACAAAAAAAAAATGCTTCCATTAGCTTAAAATTCTAGATGTGAAGGTTTGTTTTGTTTTTAATGCACAGAGAAACTCAGATGGCTTTTGTTGAAGAGAAGTTTTGCTTTCAGAAACAATGAAAAAAATCTCCTGTCTTTATTAACTTTCTGAGAGAATCTTAAGTAGCCACTGGGAAAGATACATAGCAGAAACACAAAGTTTGGTACATCTGTGATTCTTCTGCAGACTAAGAGAGGTGGTGGGCCGTGGTGTGGCATAGGCCACGTTGAGTACTTTGGTTTTTTCCAGAGAGTGGTCAAGGGCCTTGCTGAGGTTCTTACCAAAATCTTGAAGCAGAAGATACTGCCAGGATGGAGTTTGGATTGGAGGGATATCAATGATTAATTGAAGTGGACAAAAAAAGTGAGGACTTGAGGCACTATCCTTTTTTTTTTTTAATGAAAGTTATTGTCAAATTGGTTTCTATACAATACCCAGTGCTCATCCCAACAGGTCCCCTCCTCAATGTCCATCACCCACCCTCCCCTCCCTCCCTCCCAACCCCATCAACCCTCAGCTTATTCTCAGTTTTTAAGAGTCTCTTATGGGGGCGCCTGGGTGGCACAGTCGGTTAAGCGTCCGACTTCAGCCAGGTCACGATCTCACGGTCCAGGAGTTCGAGCCCCGCGTCGGGCTCTGGGCTGACAGCTCAGAGCCTGGAGCCTGTTTCGGATTCTGTGTCTCCCTCTCTCTCTGCCCCTCCCCCGTTCATGCTCTGTCTCTCTCTGTCCCAAAAATAAATAAATGTTGAAAAAAAAATTTTTTTTAAAATAAATAAAATAAAATTTAAAAAAAGTCTCTTATGGTTTGGCTCTCCCTGTCTAACTTTTTTTTTCCTTCCCCTCCCCTATAGTCTTTTGTTAAGTTTCTCAGGATCCACATAAGAGTGAAAACATATGGTATCTGTCTTTCTCTGTATGACTTATTTCACTTAGCATAACACTCTCCAGTTCCATCCACGTTGCTACAAAAGGCTATATTTCATTCTTTCTCATTGCCAAGTAGTATTCCATTGTGTATATAAACCACAATCACTGAATTTACCCAGGGGATACAGAAGTGCTGATGCATAGGGGCACTTGTACCCCAATGTTTATAGCATCACTTTCAACAATAACCAAATTATGGAAAGAGCCTAAATGTCCATCAACTGATGATTGAGGCACTATTCTTGATGGGGGGAGGAAGAAGCAGAGATTGCCAGTTTCATAGTGAAGGAGAGAATGGGCTAACCAGAGTAGTCAAGCGCTCAGAGATGAAGTCATCTGGGAATTTCCGGGGTGGAGGAGAAAAGGTAGCCATGTCTGGCTTCCCTTCACTGATCACTCTGAACCACCATCCAGGACTCATTTTTCTAAGTTTTAAGAGGGCACCCACAGCATTTAGGAGGCCAAGAAATATTCCAGCATTAGCATTTATGAGTCTGTTGTGTTAGACTTTAGTACAGTCTACAGAAAGTTCTTAA